AAGCAGCATATTACATTTAACTTGTTCATTATTAGCAGAGTTCGTACAATCATAAAATAAAATAGAAAAGTCACTATAATTTAATGCATATACTCTGATAATCCCCATGCAACCTGCAAGGGACCATTGTGAGTGTTGATATGCAAAACTTGGTAAGAAACAGTCTTTGTCCTGAAGAGCTTCAAACCTAACTGGAAAAGACAGAAGTGCAGAGAAAAATAAAAAGTAAGAATTTTCTCTGAACCACGGGAGCAGATTAGCAGCAGGACAAACACCAAAATCTGCATATGCTGATTCTCAGCCCAGTATCTGCACTAGATTTTCTTCTTCCTATTAAGACTGAAATTTTGGATTGATAGAAGTGTGAATGTTTATGTCCCTATAGTAGAGTAGTTACTGATCAAATTGAAAGCTGTACTAGAATATAAGTTTATTTCTATTTGCCATTAACAACTTTTTATTCCATTGTTTGTAATTTTTACTAAACTAATTAATTGAGCTGAATATTTTCATGCTGGCAGTTTGCCTCAAGCAGGATTTAAAACTTAAAAAAAATCTTGCTGTATTTGTGGATAACATTGTTTATCCTATTAGAAGCAAAGAAGGAGTTTTCAACTATTGTGTTAAGAAACTTTGAAAAGGACATGCTTTGGAGCAGGGCTTGGATTTCAAAGGAAGATTCATTGTCATGTCAGGAATAATTTAATACTGTTTTCTTGATTTGCTTTAGACAAATCCCAAGCAGCAGAAAAATAAGTGTGTATGCCAGCTGAATCCTTTCCAACACTTGAAGTCAACCTTGGATTCCTAACACTCCATTTTTGTTACCAGCACATAGGAGAAGCCAGTGGCAAAGCATATGTCCTTGGCTTTCAGGGTGCCTGATCTGCATAGAGGGTAACAGCTCTGTCTTTCAAGACCTCTCTATGAGCTTTTGTAGAAAAGACCTGGGCTGTGTATCTAGATGTTGATGAAGATGTAAGGCAGGGGGATCAAACCCATAATAGGGTGTGTAATTTTACAAATGAGCTATGAACATTAGGTCTGCATTACCTATATTACAATTTCTGTTAAACATAGGTTGAGAGGATGAACACTTACAAGTGAGAAAATGCTAGAACTGAAACTGCAATATTTATATGGTCACCTGGTTCATCTGTGACTTGTAATCCTTCTGTCAGCCATTTTTTCTCCTTTAGGACCTATGCCTCTTGTGGAGAATGCAGTTAGTCAGTATTGTTTCTCTCTGTCATTCAATACTTGATCCTAGATCGAGCATCCTCATCTTGCAGTAAATTTCTATCAGGGTATCCAGGCTGCATATGAGCACTTGGCAAACAGCAGTGAATGTACCTGAACAGTACCCGTGGGAAGTGAAATAATACTAAGCCAATTTTATCTAAGGACAGCCAAGGCTGAGAGAGCTTAAGAACAGTTTAGGGATGGCTGACAAGGAGCATCCAGGATCTGATTTTTCAAGAATACTTTGGCTTTTTAAGTATTCAGAGCACAACTCCAGAGATTTGAGCTACAGCTTACAGCTATGAGCATGCAGCATTTCTGTAATTCAGATGCCACCTTTCTGTCTGGGAACATTTGAAAAAAAAAATTAAAAAATTCACCATTTTATAACACCACTGTGGCAAGACCCAGTGAAGAGCATGGTTCCTTGGGGCAGTGCTCAACAGCCACCCATGACACCCTTCTTTTCCCTGCCTCGTTCCTTATGTGCATCTCAATATCAGCAACATGTGATGCTGGAGCACTGCAATGATGGTGTTCCTCTATACCCAGTACCAATTTCTTTCTGCAGCATGGGAAGTGTAATGCAATTAAAGACTCACTTAAAAGAAGCCTAATTCTTAGCATTTCTTAGCATGAAATCTTTCAATACCCCAACCTCAATATAATCTTTGCATTTAGGAAGTTGGGCGTGTTATTCAAATAACTCTGTTGTATTGTATAGCTCCTGTCAGAATTACTGTTGTTCTCCAGGAGGAAGTTTTGCTGATTTAGCCTTCTTGAGATTTTAAATTAGGTTTTTCACAGCAGTGGAAAAAACATGGAGATTCATACTTCATTTGATAGCAAGCTTCACACTGCTTGAGGTCAGTTTTAAACCTAAATAAAACACTCTTTTCATAAGTCTATAAAACATACCATATGAAATCTATGTGGTGGTGATATAGTGACAATAATTTAAAAAGCACTTCTGAAATGAGCTTTGCAAGGTGACTTACAAGATGTTAATGAAACTGCTGTAAACTTCAGTCAGGTGTTTGTCAGTGGGAAAAGGTTTTTCTGCTGGCAAAGCAGAAAAAAAAAAGTTCTGAGATAACACTTGTGAGGTAGATTGTCATTTTGGTAAACAAGATTCTTAGACTGGCTGTTTTAGCAGACTGAATGGACATAAGAAATTAGATTTCACTACAAAAAGAACAGTGGCAGTTCTGCAGGTACATACAGTTTGCCAGAGGTAGGCCTACACAGAAAGTAGCCAAAACTTGCTAATTGAACAGCATTGACATTGTTTAGAAATTGGTTAATTTCTCACTGATAGGATAATATTTTTATCAGAGTGTAGTGGTTGCTGCAAGGAAAGAGTCACGGGAAGACAGAGAGGGTAGGATTGGCTCTATCATTTAATGATGGGTGAATAGAATGCTGGATAAAAAGTTTTAGGCTTAGTATGTAAGTACATTGGTACATTGCTGCTGCCTGGCAGCTGAGGCCCTGGCTCAGTGTTACAAAGGAAAATGTTTTAGCAAACTGAATAAAATTCATTTTTTCTTTTTTAAAAACAACAAGTGCTGATGTACAACCTGTGGAAAAGAGCAATTTCCCCCCACAAGATGCTGGTGCCTGCTTAAATGTTACAGAACTAACAAGCTGCACCAGCAAATACCACATTTATAATTCATTCTGGCTGATATTTTAAAGGAGTCTGAGAAAGCAGATTACCAAATTCCTCTGAATTTTAAGTAACTTATAACCTTTTGTTTTATTAGGCTCTCAATACCTGCCAGGCTGCTGAGGCATCGTGACAATAGATAATATTTAGCACTTCGCTTGCTTGCTTAACCCATGGTAACAGGGACTTGGCTTGTCATTCCCAGCTCTCCTCTCCAAGTCATCTTCCATACAGTATTGCTGTGATAAATCCCTCTGCCCCTCAGTTGGGATTCAGCCGCCTTTGTCTACTTGCCTGATGAGCACTTCTATGCCTTCCTCATGCTGCCCCACTCACTAGGGGCAGCTTCTTGAAAACATCCCTGAAACTCTCCCATTATTCCACTGAAAAGTTCCCTGTGCCCTTCTCCCTGTGAGCAGTTGACAATTTACCTGTGTGGCAGGGAGCAACATCTTTTCCTTTCTTAACAGTTTTCTATTTGCCTCTGTCCATGGGTAGTGTCTTGTCTCATATTTGGGGGGAAAACCCTTGGAGCAGGGCTCTTTACTTTCACTGTATTTGTGTGCCACATAGCATGGGAAGATCCTGTCCTTACCTGGGTCTGTAGTCCCAGCTAAATGCAAGTAATATTTTTGCCATTACAGTTCATTGTCCCTTAGACAACCTAAAACCTGCATATTTGACTTGACCTGCAGAACAGCTGCATATGCCAGTCCACGTGCATTTATGATACACAGTGTGTGTGCCCTCCAGGGCAGGGGTAGGAATGATGCCATGGGGCTGGTCCCACCACCACTGTAGGAGAGTGAGTGTGAAGGCATCTGCAGCACAAGGCATCTCAGTCCGGCCAAGGCTTGCTCTGACTTGGTGTCGCAGCAGTGTGATAGAAAAAGAAGGCTGGGTTTGAGTGTAGGACCATGCTGCTGGGTGAGAGGCAGCGTGGATGTAGTCAGGCTTTCTAAAACACTAGTTTTTATTCTGTGTTTGCAATCCCATCTATTATTTGTCCTGGTTTTGCTGTCTGATGCAGAACTTGAAAATGAGCTCTGATCTCCTTGGGAGTTTTCCTGTTAAATATTTTTAAATAAATGAATAGTATGTTGCATACTTTCTTCCCTGGACACTTCTAGCAGGAACAAGCTATCAGCCACCTGGTATCTCAGCAGTGCAAGTTGGCTGAAATCTGCCCATGTCCCCCATTTTGTGGACTATGCAAAGTGTTATTTTGCCAGTGTGTTTAAATCAGCTGAGACCTTCACATCCAAAGATTGTCACTGTAAATCCTGTGAGAGCTCAGCTGGCTCTTTGCAATGTGTTGAGGTTCCCTGAGCCATCCCTTGAGCCTGTTGAGCAATCATGTTATTTTCTTCAATGAAATGTTCAGGAAGAAATGTGTTCATGAATAAAAGTCTGACATTTCAACATCTGCATCTGGAAAGAAACATAACCTGGGTAGTCATAATTTGGTTGTGAAAGGCACACTCATTATTTAAATCATATGTGCTCTCCATGTCTAGCAGGGGCCCACTGGGCACGATTCAGGGACTGCTGGAACAAAGAGAAGTCTCTTTATTGACTCAGTGGACTTTGGATTAGACCCTAAATTGACAGGAGGAACTCAGAATGAATTACAAGTCTCTGGAGAGTTTGGGAATGCTGCACAGTGGTTAGATTTTTGTGCTGCCAAAATGAAATTGCCACTGCTGAAGAAAGCTGAAAGGTTTGTGGAATAAGATCTTCATGGAGAGTTGTCAATCTTATAGGTGTGGATATAGGTGGCTGCAGTATAAGTTAAACCTTCTTTTCCAGAGTCCTCTTAAGATGCGTAGCGTATACTTTATGACAGCCAGACCCACAGGAAGAGTTACCAATGAGAAAAATAAACTTGATATTCCTTAATGGTTTAATTTCTGGTGCAACCAAATGAAATCATTTTGGAGATGCAGGGAGGCATTTGTTAATTAACAATAAAGAATAGTATCATGCCCATAGAAATTTGATGACTACATCACAAGTGGGAGAGGGAATAAAATGTGTTTTATTTGGTCCTATTTACTCCATCGGTATGCTTTAGGGAAAGGATGAGCCTTTTGCATCATCTACACATTGTTGGATTTGCACTGCCCTCCGCCGGTGCGTTCGGGCCGTGCCGTGCAGGAAGGCACCCCAGGGCGGTCTGGGAAGGGAACTGGAGTCCCGATACAGCCCTTAGCTGTGCCCCCCTCAGCTGTGCCACATCACTGCCATGTGCCGTCATACCTTCAGAACAGATGCGTTGTGCTGAACAGTCCTTGCTGCCACAGCACCTGAGAATCTGTACCATTTTCACCTGTGGTGTCTTCACCCTGTGCTGTTGTGTGTGCGCTTCCCAGAGGGGCTGCAGGCATCCACCCAAGGCTGGGCAGGGATCCTGCAGCAGGCAGGCAGTTTGAACTCCCAACTTCCAAGCCCCAGGGCTGTGGCACAAGCATGGGAACTGGTTTGTGACACTAGACCCACGCGCTGAGCACACTACTCACACCACAACGTGCTTTTTCTCAGTTCTGGTACCTACCCCATGATTTCCAAACACTGAGCATCCAGTAGATGCAAAGGAAGACCTTTTGTTTGTTTGGACAATAAGAATTTATCAATGCTGAGGATGGATGAATCCCTCGAGATTGTGCTGTGACAGAAAGCACATGTATAATGTAGTCACCGTTAAGCAGTGCTATTGCACACCTTTCTTGAATTTGCTGCTAGTGTTCAGCCATCAATTGTCTTCTGCTTAAAACTTTTCAGGAGAAGCAGAGATCGAGAGCGATGACGATGACGACTATGATGATGACTGTAAAAAGTCGTCGATGGATGAAGTAAGGGTGTAGATGCGTTTTATGGTAACGGGTCGATTTCAGGAGTTGTGGGTTGGCTTGTGTTACTAGGGTGGGACTACCACCTAGTGGAGAAAGGGCGGCAGAGCACTGAGAAACGCCAACTTTCTGAAGTTGCCTGTTAATCGCTTTGTAAGCACATCCTTGCTTTGTTTATTTATATTTTTATTTCCTGAAGAATAAGAATTAATAGCACCACATCTGATCTGTTTTAGACAGCTGCTCGTGGTGTATTTGGAATTGTTGAAAGAAAAAACCTGACATAAAAAACTTAGAGCTATATTTATTTTTTATTCAACAGTACTAATAAATGTGCTCAGCACTATGCATGCACAAAGGTAACGTAGTCCTTCCCTAGGAGGCAAATGGCAGGCATGAATACAGCAGCATTTTAATTAAAAAAATAAATAAAAATAAAAAAGCAAATTGTCTTTGTTAGTATGTGAAGCTTCTGGTGTGAGGTATTGACTTCACTAAGTCAGGATAACTGGAAGGTATTACAGTCGACAGAAAACCAAGCTTTGGTATTTGTGACCTCTGGTAACCACCATGGATTTTGACAGGTCAAAACTGCAGCATTTTCTCTTCTCCATCCTAGGGTACTGCTGGAAGTGAGGCTATGGCCACAGAAGAGATGTCTAACCTGGTGAACTACATTCAACCTGTGAAGTTTGAGTCATTTGAAGTATCAAAAAGTAAGCTAAGCATGAGCAACATCTTATACTGGAAATAACCCAGGAAGTGTTTGGAAGAAAGTCTAACCTTCCCCAGATGCAAATTCACTCATTCCTGCCTCTATTTATTGTATAGAAAAGACCATCATTTCATCCCTCTGGCTTCTGCAGAAAATGCCCTGCTAGGAGTGCACTGGGTGGCATCCCCAGTAAACACTGCAGCATCTTTTCCTTTCTTGGTGCAGAACCCCCTACTGTTTGCCCGCCCTTTTTCACTTTGTTCTGACCCATTGCAATATGCTCTTAGAACTTTTTACTTAAAGAAGTGTATAACAATTTAACATATCACGGATTTGTGGAGGCCTTGGCAGAGGACAGGTAATTGACACCTAAGCCCATACCTGTGTACAAGATGTAGAATTTACTCATCATGAATTATAAACGTATAAGTTATCTACCTGTTCATTCATGTGTGTGGGTATTTATACAGATGTACACACAAGCATCCACAAAACCATGCAGAGGGCTATGTTTGTTCCCTGTAGTAGTGTCCCTTTAGATGTTTGTAATCTCCTCTAGCTCTAATGAGAATTACAAGAACACAGTAGGAAGGAAATATTCCTTCAGGAAAGGAAACCATGTGAATCTTAGCAGGACAGGGTTATGCAGCTGTTACAAAATTGGCTTGTATAGATTTCTTCTGTTCACATGCCTGTGCCTTTCTGAGTTTTGTAAAGAACTGGTGATGTCCAGATTTTTTGTCCTAAGTCTTGATGTGACCTTTGATCAATCATATTGTTTTGGTGAGTTCATAATGCTAAGGAATTAATATTTCTGGTATTTGGGTTGAAAAAATCACTCTATGTTAAATGTGGCCATTTCATTAAAGCAGTGGCCTTACACGGTGAACGTTACTGGCTGGTGAAAGCAGTGGACACTACAGCATGACTTGTGTGTTCTGGTCTTAGTCCTGTCCTGGACTCACTGCTGGAGCATCAGCGAAAATAAGCTGAATAAAGGAATTAGATTAGGATTGTTTTTTAATTCTCTGCCTATCCAGTTGCTGCCTAGATTTCATTTCTGTTTACCTGACTTCATTTCCCTAAGTGGAGAGCTCCATATTTGTCTTTTATACAGAGTATTCATCTCAGTGTTACAGCATTTCTCCAATATAATATTTTCCACATCAGAATTTGTTTTGATTTGTGATCCTGGCTTCCCTGGTGATAACAGCACCTCACTGCTTCTGTCATTCATACATTACAGAAATGCATTTTCTGGTCCTGCATCCAACTTGTTAAAAGAAGTGTTGATCAGCACTGGATCTGTAACACTACCCTGATTGCCCTCACTAGATATGTTCCCCCTCTCTGACAGCAAGTAGCTGTAACTGTATTTTTCAAGCAGTTTTTCAACAAGTTGTTCATCTGCTCCATAGCAACTTCCTTCTGATAAGGTAGCACAGTGCAAAGTATTGTGAAAAAGAAATGTGTCTCCTGCACAGTCTTTTCTTCAAACAGCAGGTTTCCTAATCCTCTCCAGATACTGGAGAAATAATTGCTTTTATTTTAATTAGGATTTTGATTAAGCCCTGGACCTTTAGTAATCAAGTCATTTAACAGGTACCAGTTCTGATTTCCTACAGATGCTCTATTTCATGATAAAGCTGAGAGAAACAGTATATTGCTACAACAAATACTAAGACCTGTATTCTAAACAGAATGACACCACTGTGTATGTGTGTTGTCAGTGCTATCCCATTAGAAAGGGGGAAGGATGAAATAAGAATTATCTAAGTGCCTTTATAAGGAGTTAAGATGGAGGATGGCTGGAACAGTCTGGAGGGAGCAAGGATATTGCTTGTTTGAAAGGAAGAGGAGTGGTAGGACAGCAGCCTCTAGGGAATGGCAGGAATCTTTTGCCATTAGGAAATAACAGCTATGAATAATGGCAGTAGCACGATGGTTGCTAATTAGAAATAAGGACCACAATAAAGTCTTCAGTCCCAACTCTCCTACAGGGAGAGAATCTCCTTTGGAAAACCACAGTCATACTCTGACACTTACATACACACTGAGACTAGTTTGTACTTTACAAACTGGCAGCACATTTTCCTCTCACGTTGGCCCAAACAATCTAGTTCCTCACTTCTTTGGATCCACTGTTTCCTTTTTGGCTTCCCATAAGGCAAGTGCCCACCTGTTTCTGTCCTGCTTCTCTCTGCAAGACAAGTGCTTTTGTTCAGTTTTATCCCTCTCCTGCAGCTTCACAGTTTGACTTCAGGGAGCTGGCCAGGCTGGCTTCCTGGCCATCCCTGGATTACTGCAGCATAATTACTTCTAAAACCGGATGAGCGTTTTCTCTGCCTTATTGTTTGCTTTCAATAAAGTGGTGAAGCTAGGGAGTTCATGTTTTAACTCAGGCACTGTTTCACTTGTTTTTAAAGAGAGCAGTGCTGAGATACCTAATGGATATGAGCTCCCAACGCTGTGGCCCCTTCTAGGCAATCTACACAGCTGATTGTGACAAAATGGGAAGCTGTTATTTGCAGGAATTCTTACCTTTTATACAAAAGTGCAAAGGAAAAAATATTGAAGCTAGAAAGGTCTTGACTTAGGCTCTCTGCAACAGCATGTTGCACAGGTACATTGAAAGGCTGTGCAGACATCAGGCAAAGGTGAGCAGTGATACACAATTTCATGTGTAGTCTTGCTGAATTACAAGCTTAGGAGGAGCTTTTCACCACTGTCAGGTCAGAAAGTCTGACCAAATTAAAGAAGTCATAGAAACTCTGTATGAGTCTGGCATTTGGTCTGAGGACCTGCTGGTTCACAGGAGTGTACCTTGAGGCATGATTAGATACCAATGTTTCCATGACTATTTGAGACAGCTATGACCTTACTCTGACATCCTGAGGATAACAAGAACTGCTGTAGGCACAGCTAGTGCACTGCTTCGTTTAATCTGATACGGACGTTAGTTATTATAGCTTCATATTGGCTCAAAGTCCTTGCATCTGCCTGCAAAGACAATGTGAAGATCCAGCAGGGCCCTCTGTGTTCCCCACGAAAGCTGCCATACTGCCTCTGCATCTCACCTGTGAGCTCTGGGGTCTACATCTCAAATATATCAACATGGCATTTTGCAAGCAAACATGAGAGATCTCTGCCCGTGCCCTGAATTTCTGTTGCCTGCAGCTGGAGCAGTAGCAATCTCAGGCAGTACCAGTACTCTTAATTTGGGGAGGGGTAATATAAGTTCAGACAGGGCTCTTAAGTATATGCAGAATGACCTTCCTGCTGCCAGTAAACAATTATGTACATAAATTCTTTGAGATCAAGGTGAAATGAGCTGGTGAACAGGGGATGGGATAAGGGGACTGTGATTAAATCAGTTTTTAGCAGCTCATGTGCTACATACGATTTAATGCATTAACGTGTCACTTTTTATTTCCCCTTTAAACTTTCAGAACGGAACAAAAGTTTTGAAATGTCTTCCTTTGTGGAAACCAAAGGGCTTGAGCAACTGACAAAGTCTCCTGTGGAGTTTGTGGAGTATCCTTGACTTTCAGAAAGCTGCTTCCTTAGCCTTTCTATATCTGAGATCTGTTACAGGGCTTATTGAAATTTGGAGAGAGGAGCTGGGGAAATAGAAAACCCAAATGAAATTTGTAGATTTGACTGTCTTCCTAGATGAATTAATTGGCCTGAGTTCTGATGAGCTAATTAAAAAAACTGGCATGAGTCCTTGTGCTGTGGGCTAGGACTAGAGGGAATAGGTGTAATCTACATATTGAAGACCTGATACTTTATATTGTCATTGTTAACTGTATCATCCTATATGAGGTGGTATGGGTTACAGTGAGCAAGTTATCAAAACACGGCTGATGTTTTTTTGCAAAGTCTTATGAGAGAACTTGCTTTCCTATCATACTTCTAGTTCTAAGAGCACTGAGATGCTTTATTGCCATGCAATTATTATTTTTTTTCTTTAGGATTTTTTATAACTTTTAAAGAAAAGCTAAACAGCATTCTATTTAGACCTTTTGATGTTTTTGAATGTCTCTCATCTTGGCTGCAGTTAAGAATGAACAGTCAAGATAAAGTAGTGCCTTAAAGAAGATTAATGGAATGGTGTTTCCACAGATAAACTGCAGCCTTTTCTCATATCTGAGATTTGTAGATTCAGCTATAAGAAGTGCACACTCATGATTTCTGTCTGGATGTAGAGGCCAATTCTAATGCTTATTCCAGAAGAGCACTTACTTTTTAACTGAGCACCTCTCCCCCACCACCAGAGTTGTTTACAGCTATTTGGCCTCTAAAAATGCAATCTTAGGAAAATGCCAAAGTATTAACCAAAATGATAAATGGAGTTTTATGAATTCTATCTTGTTAAATGCATGTGCTTGTGTTATTTCCTTGCTTATTCTGTATAGGAAAAAACAGCACCTTTTGTTGCCCCGTATTTATCATATCTCCCACAAAACTGTGCACCTCTGGAAGATTTATAGTTGCAGAAGTCCAATAGGGATCCCACTGCCATTCTGTAAAGAATCCCTGCATTTAAATATTGTAGTTGTGCTTCTCTGCAAAATGCTTTTTGTCACACATGTACTCTATCTTAACCACTCACTGTTTAGATACAACAAAATGCAGCTAAGCCGGATTTACCCAAAGGGAACACGTGTAGATTCTTCAAACTACATGCCACAAGTCTTCTGGAATGCTGGCTGCCAAATGGTTGCTCTTAACTTCCAAACTGTAGGTAAGTGATGCTGGGCTCTAGATTTTGTAAGCTGTCCCTTGCCATTTCTCTCAAACAGTTTCTTACATATGAAGGGCTTTATGCATCAAAAGATGCCTAGTGATTGAATGATACTACAGAGCTGTTATTTAACATTTTAACAGAGTTTTGTTGTGTTTTTTTAAAAACTAGGAATGTTCATAATTGCCACGGTATAGCTAGTAAAATACACATACATCATGCCCTCCATACTGTCATCATTTATAAGTGGTTACCATTGAGCAGCATTTCAGATCTAACAGAGACTTTTTCCTGTGTCTTCCAAAATCTCAATAAATCAAGGCATAAGGGACTTAGCCAGCAAAATCCACTTTGGAAGCAAGTGTTTAAGAAACAAAGACATTTGGACTTCAGGATGCACAAGTCACTTGAAATTGAGTATGTCTGTTCTGAGACATAGAGGTATTTCCATCTACTGCATCCCAGGACATATCCTGGCCATGCTCTGCCTCTGGGCACATGTTACCATAGTATCATTCCCTTTTTCCTTTCCATTTGTGCCCATGTATATATCATCTTTCCATGGAAAGCAAACCCCCACACAGGCTGGTAGTCTGCAGAGTAATAAAAACTTCTTGGGCTAGTTTCAACCAAGTATCAAGCACCCAGTGTTAGGTGTTAGAAGACATTAGAAACCTAAGTACTCTGCTGGGTTGGGTACAACAGTGCATCACTGAGGGACTTAAAACCTAAGAGTGTCAAAGCTTCTTTTAAAAACTGAGTACATTAGCTTACAGATGTCTTTTACTTGGGAAAAGAATCAAAGACAGTTGCTGCAATCACATATGAAACCTCTTATAACAAGCAACAGCGTGTCATGAATACCTGTTTACATTACAATTGGTTTGAAATTTCAATAAGTAGAAGTATTTTATTGCTTTGTTAAGTGCTTATCTAAGCAGAATGTAATTCTTACCAACATTTTTAATGCCTAGATTTGTCTATGCAAATAAATATGGGAATGTATGAGTACAATGGCAAAAGCGGATACAGGTTAAAGCCAGAATTCATGAGAAGACCAGACAAACACTTTGATCCATTTACTGAAGGTATAGTGGATGGAATAGTAGCTAACACCTTGTCTGTCAAGGTACGTATGCAGTGGGTAAAATGAGAGCATAGATATATTTCTGTTATGCAGTGTCCTAGAAAATGACCATACTAAGTCAAGAAAGCAGAACACATTTCAGTACATTTCATTTTTACATTACAGAGGATCTTCCACCTTACATTTCATAATGTAGGATAAATATATGTATTTTCATTGCATGTATTATTTTTCTTACAAGTGATTGGGAAGTAAATGGGTTTAATAGTAGTTTAGCTTTGGTTTTAGTAACTAAGAGCTGAATTTAAGACATGCTGTTACGAAGTGGTAGGTTGCACTGGCATGGCTATAACAGTACACTGTTTAGGATAAATAAGCTTTCTATTTCCCTA